TTCAAATGGTCCTTGAAGTAAAGCTATGTTCTTTGGTGTTAGCTGTGGGAAATGCGTTCTGATGAGAAGGAAACAATCCATAATGCATGCCTTTGTATGTGGTGTGGGGAAGACACTGCTTTCAAGTAGTCGCTTCTAAGAGACTGGGGTTATCCCACTAGTTACCAAATCTCAACTGTAGTTAGCTGGGTTTGAGAGCAGCCCCTCCCCCCCCTTAAATCTCAACATCTCCCAGAAATATATAGAGGCTTTTGAGATTGTCTTGATACTACCCACTCACATACCAGTTCTGGGGCTGGGCGGGGGTGGGAGAAGAATCCTTTTTAAAACTGGACTGTTCCATGGCACGATGGCAATTCTAAGCAAAGAATGCTGCTGAGTGCTCCAAGCCTGCCCCAGGACCCAGAGCTTTTCATGAACTTGAGTTTAATTTGTATTTGAACTTCATTCATCTCTTCCTAGGGTCCTCTGATTAAAGCCAGTGCTTCTGCCAAGTAAGATAGAAAATGGGACGCTTGTAGGATGAATAACATGCAGTTTCACAATGTGTTGCTTTTAAAAAGTCATTCTGATTTTTGTTGTTTTAAAAAGGAATTCACTGTAATTGTAACATACAACATAATGTAAAGATATACAAGGAAAATATATTTAACAGAAACAAAACTGCTCCTACCCTTACTCCAGCTGCTCTTCTTTCTATCTTTTCCCTGCCTCCACCCAAATTGCTGTTAACCTGGTGTGTAGAATTCCATACTGTTCTGGAATGTCTTTTTCAGGTTGCTTTTCCTTTGAGTATTCCTTTCTATTATTGTTGGAAAGTGTATCCCCGTTTTGCATATGGGAACAATGATAAAGAGGGCTCACTTTGGGGCCAGTCGTCTCAGCCCCTCCTCTCACCAGCATGTAACTTAGGGCAAAGAAAATGGGGACCATGATGCCTACCCCAGAGAGTGGGGAGGTGGGGGGGGGAATTAAATCAGAAAACTGGATATAAGGAGCACAGTGCAAGGTTCTGGCTTGTCTCGGCTCTGCTCCTTACTAGCTGCCTCCATTTCCCCATCTGTAAAAAAGGGGACACTGATAGGACCAACCTCATAGAGTTCTGGGATTAAATGTTTGTCAAGTGCTTAGAATAGAGCCAGACACATAATGTTTTATACCTGTTTAAAATGTTATGAAATCGTCAATAAAAGGGAGTTGAAGCTGTTAGTTGAGGTTGTAGTTTTTGATGGTATTGATAATATTATTGTGGTGAAAAGATTTTCCCATTTAGACCACTGGTTCTTGGCTCTTGTCGTTGGGATTTGGTTTCTGGACCAAGGAACCAAATAACAGGTTTAGGGAAGGAGGAGGATGTGCTGACTTAAAGAATACTTAGTCCCTTGCTGACTTTATTTTTGTTTAACTTTTTATTGTGGAAATGTTCAGATATACCCAATCCTCATGTACCAATCAATCCCCTGGTTTCAACAGTTTGCCGTTCTTGTATAGTCTCCCACATGCTGGTGAGAGCATTCACTGTGGCCCCAAGACACTGGCCAGCCTTTGCCAGGGGTGAAGCAAGCTTCCCAGAACCTTCCTGGAGCTGGAGATCCCCCCAGCCTTTCCTGGTTTATCAGCCAGAGGATCGGGTTGCCTGGAAAGATAATGGTCCTTAATGAGCGCCTAGAAATTCAGGTGGGGGCTGTCTGTCTGTCACACTTCTTCTGTCACTTCTTAAGGTGGGGGGGGGGAACTTAGCCCCCATTAAGATGAAATGCCCTAAAGCAGGGTAAATACCTTGCATCAAGTATTTGCAAAACCATTTTCATATTTTCAGGCCGCCACCCTTGGCAAGTTCAATCATGCTTGTCATTGCCCAGGTTTGGGCCGGCTGGGGAAAGGAATTCAGTGTGACAAACGAGGGCAGCTATTGTTCCATGCTTATGTGACAAGTCCCCAGACAGTCCAGTTGCCCTATTACTTCTGCCGGGGTGAGCTGGAGAAGGGTTATTTATTTGAAAAACATCTTGTTTTGCTAGTTTAAAAAGAAATTCCCACTTTAGACTTAAAGGGCAGTATCTGCCCATCTTTTAAAGACGTTGCATTTCTTCTATTGTCATTTTGATAGTTCATCTGTTCATTTAGCCAATACTTGTCTTCTAGCTTGTTCTCCCAAATGCAGAAACATAACAATCTCCTTTGACATGTATTGTTCTTTGGCTTTCAAAATGTGATTCACATTCACTGTCATGGTTAATCGTCACAAAACCCTGAAGAGGTAGGTTTGATCAGTGGTGGCATCCTTCATGTTCAAGGACAGAAAACTGAGACCCATAGAGGTTAAGCATTTTGCTTAGGGCCACCCAGCAAGAACATGGCAGAATCGGGGTTTATAATCCAGTCACAGACTCAGACCAGCCTTTTCTTCTTGTCGCTCGCTGTCTTCCTATCATTTATTATAGCTTTCCATTGCTCACCCATCCCAACCTCCTCAAGTCTGGGAAATGAGTTGTAGAACCTGCCTGAAAGGTGAGGGTAGGGATGGGGGCATAGTTTTGATTGTTTTTTTATAAACTGAGAAGGAGAGTTGGTTGGGTGAGTGATTAGTCAAAGGACCCAGCTCCCTTCCTGTGAAATAACTCTTCTTGGTTTGGCTTCTCAGTTTATTTGCCAGGTAGCAGACACCCAGCTACTGAGTGAGGAGGTGGCCTCAGATTTCTACCATCCCTGATTCTAGCTGGGAGGTAAAGTTATCCCTTAAAAATAGCTAAGGCTGGGCCGGCCGAGTGGCGCGTTGGTTAAGAGCTGGCTTGGGACGCCAGAGGGCCCCGGTTCGGATCCCACATATGAGGGTGAGTGACACTGCCCTCTGCAGCTAAGAAGCTGAACAACAGCTCAACCTGAAGCTGGGCTGCTGTGAGTCGCCGGGGAGGGCGTAGGCTGCAGCCCCTGCTGCAGTGGGTTGCCATGGGCTACCGTGTGTAGCCAGCAGCCGCTGTGACTGGCCATCCACTGATCTGCCTCGCCTGGGAAGAGTGCAGCGATGGTGCCAACTTGGACCAGTGAAGCAACGTCCTCCACAACTAGACTGAAGAACAAAAGGACAGCAACTTGTCTGTTCCCCTTCCCCCTATTTCCCAGTGCTGTCCCCATCCCCCAATTCCCCAATTAAAAAAAGAAAAAAGCCAAGGCCCCAAGAAGTGCTCCCCAGAGGGAGTGCAAATCATGAGACTAAAATAACTCATGTTAAGAGTTAGTCCCAGCTCTTCTGTTCAGTAGTTATAGGAAATCAGGGAAATTTCTTAACCTCCCTGAGTCTCAGTTTCTTCATCTTCAGAATGGGGGTATTCCTGGTGCTTACCCTCCTACCCCCAAATACAACTTCATTTTCTCTGGCAAGGGTGGAGCTGTTGGCTTCAGAAACATTTGCAAGGGCGGCGCCTGGTGGAAGAAATGAAAACTGCAGCCCATGGATGGCTTGAGGGCTTTCTGGCAGAGACTTGATCCTCATGAATGGAGAGGTGTCTAGCTGTGTAAAATAGGCAAAAAAGCAGGGATTTTTATAAAAGATCACTTGGGAAAAATAGAAATTCCACTGGAGGAATGAAGGACAATTATTTGAAAGGGAGGAAAATAGGCTAACTTGAGAGTTTCCCAGAATGAACTCTTTTATTTACTGTTCCCTTTTGCCGGAAAGGCTCTTGAGCCAGGCTGACTCCTTCAGGCCTCAGCTCAGACGCCTCCACCTCAGAGAGGTCTGCCTCAGCAACCAATATAAGTTACACCTTCCCCAAACTCCCCTCACCCTTTCTTGAATTACCCTCTTTAATTTCTTTGTATCCACTTACGTTTATCAATCACTACCTGCGATTTTTGATTTTGGTATTTGTCCACCTCTTCCACAACAGTGTAAGCTCAGTGAGAGCAGGTGTCTTGTCTACCTTGTTCACAGTTTTGTCCTGAGAGCACAGTTCTGACATCTAGCTTGGTGAGAACCTTTGGGACTCTGATGTTTCATGTAGACACTTTTTATCACAGCTTCTCCAGCTTTGGGTATGAATACTTTTTTAACTTTTAATACTTTAGTAACTATAAAGTGTCTAAAAAATAGTTTTGTCTTTAAACCATTGCTTATAAGTTCCCCCACCCAAGTAGTTTTTCTCTGCCTTTTGCATTTATCTTGCGTCCCTGTGTGACCAGGTTAAAGACTTTCCTATGAAACCTTCATTATCTCCTCTGACAATGCTGTCTTTCCTCAGTGCTCATATGGGAAGCAGGTATTACCTCTCTATGTCTCAGATAATAAGCATATAATCACACTCAATAAATACCTGCAGTTGTGGAATACACATGGGGGGGGGCGAATAAATGATTAACCAAAGCTATGTTTCTTTACAACCCTTGTAGGTAGTTGCTATTGTTGCCTTCTTTCAATAGCTGGGTAGACTAAGAGATTAAATAACTTACCCAAGGTCACAGAGCTAATAAGCAGAGCTGGGACTTGAACCCAGGGAGCCTGGTCCAGAGTCCATACTTTTAACCATTATGTGATGCTGGCTCTCTCTTATTATCTGCCACTGTGCATTGAAAGGTAGCCTGTGCACAGTGTGACATTGTACCTTGGTCTCTAACTTTTGGACTCAGTAGGTATGCTGTCTCGGTTATTTTAGGGGTCCGTTTTCATATTGTCAAGCGTCATCTGAAAAGGAGAGGCCCCCTTTTTGTTGTTATTGAAAAGGAGAAGTTTCTAGACAGGTTACTGTTTTCATTTTACAGGGAGAGGGGAAAAAAATCATTGCATAATTAGCAGTCACCCTATAATTGTGAAAAACATAATGATAATATCGACCACTTTGATATCTTTGCTGTTCTGTCACCAGACTATGGTTTTGTTTTGCTTGTGCTTGTTTTGTGAGAGTCAGGCGTTTCGTGGGTGGACCCAGTTCGCTTTTTAGAGAAGGAATGCCCTTGTTTTTAATCTGCCCAATTTTCTAACCACTGTGATTTATGCCCTGCAGTGAGTTTTGAAGGATGCACCGGTCAACCAAGGACAATCTATATTTCTGACGACACCAGATTCAAAGTGGGCACCGATGGTGTGCTTACAGTCAAACGGCCTCTACAACTGCATAATTCAGAGATTAGGTTTCTTGTTCACGCCTGGGACTCCACCCGCAGGAAGCTGTCCACCCAAGTGACGCTGAAGGCAGCAGTGCCCAACCACCGGCATCGCCACCATCATCATAATGTATGTTGCAGTGTTTCTGGAAAGTTCACTAATATTTTAGTCTGTTCCTCCTCCAATTTTCTTTACTTGGCACCGTTCACATTTGGGGCTGGAGAATTTTTTTTGTTGTGGGGCCGTCCTGTGTACTGTATGATGTTCAGCAGCATTTCTGGTCTTAACCCACTAGATGCTAGTAGCACCCCCTTAATTGTGACAACCAAAAAGTGTCTCCAGACACTGCCAAATGTCTGCAGGATACCCTCAACTGGCAACTTTTGTCTAACTAAACTAATTCTTTTTTTTTTCTTTCTTACTTTTTTTTTTTTTTTAATTAGGGAACAATGTGTTTTTCCAGGACCCATCAGCTCCAAGTCAAGTAGTTGTTTCAATCTAGTTGTGGGGGGCGCAGCTCAGTGACCCATGTGGGAATAGAACCGGCAACTTTGGTGTTATGAGCCTTGCGCTCTAACCAACTGAGCTAACTGGCTGCCCCTAATGGAACTAATTCTTGCTGGGAACTTTTTTTGTTGGATGGAGAGGGAGTAGGTGGAATTATGGCAAGATATTACCTTTATTTCTGCAGGTGGTATAGACTAGTGGGTGAGGACACAGAATCTGTCTGGGCTTGAATCCCAGCCCTGCCATTTACTACCTGAGTAACCTTGGGGGAGTTATTTAATCTGTCTATGCTTGAATTTCCTTATCTGTAAAATGGAGATGATAATGACTGCATGAATTAATACATGTGAAACTATGCTAGGCCTATAATAAATACTGTTAACTGTTTTTATTCTCTTCCTAGAAGAAGAATGAACAAGAGGTCAATTATCTGATCATTTTGCTCTTTGTGTTTTTAGTGGAGAGGGTCTTGGCAAAGAAGGGGAGGAATTAGTGGGAAGCTTTTGCCCCATCAGACTGGAATCTTCACAAGATCCTTTCCCCTTATATTTGCTTGCCTGACCCTCGGTCTGGCACATACCAGGAGGCCAGTCAATATTCAGTGGACAAATGGATGGACTGGCCATGAATGGAAGGATATATATTTCCCCAGGTTCTTGGCAAGAATGTTTCTGGGAATTGTTGACCAAAGCCAAATGCCTTTGCCAGTTTCCAAACTGCTCCCATGGTGATTCCTTCCAAAACCTCTCTGGGGAGCCATTCTAGTTACATCCTATAGCTGCTTTGGAAGCGTGGGGTGGGTCCTAAGTGCCCAGGCCTTTCAGGCTGGTTCCTGCTTTCTTCCCCGAAGACTCCTGAGATTCCAGGAACTTAATACCTGATAGATTGAATTTTTCTCCCTGGTCTAATTGGACAGACCAGAAAAATGAGGGACTCAGTAGAACTATATTAACACAGCTCCCTGACTCAAGTCTCCAATTGATTCTGTCATTCCTGTGCGTTCAGCACGGTAACTTCTTGCTGGGCAGCTATGCATGGAAGCCTCTTAGGACCAAAGACATTTTTGAGCTTGCTTTTTTAACTTTTCCTCCCCACCTTTGCCTCTGCTTCCATGTCTGCTGAAGTGTGATTAGGTTCAAATACATATTA